GCTATTTTAATCTCTTCCGTTCTGCTTCCGTTTTATTCTTGTGTATAGTCTTCTGTTCATGTTGCATGTTGCTCTTTTTCTGGCAATTTCTTCGCACCACCAGTGCACTGGTGGTTTCCGGTATCTCGCTTTTTCTGTGGGAAAGTTTTTGTCGCATATATTTTAATTTCGTGCAATGCTTTCCGTCTATCGTCAATGTATAATTTTTTTGTCTGAAGGCCTCCCAGTTGTTGCCTGTGATGCGCTATCCTGTGGCTGGTGTGTTGTATTCTCTTTTCTGTTGCTATAATTTCAAAGACTATATTTTCTTCTTCTCTCTCTACTCATCAGTTCTTTATCTTCTGACTGATTCTTGGTGTGACAACGGTGAAGTCTATTAGGGAGAATCTATTTGGCCCTTCAAAGGTCGGTATTTATTTGTCTTTCATTCAGGGTAACCAGGTTTTTTCCCGCCAACCATTCTTCGAGGATAGCACCTCTGTTGTTCGTCACCATCGACCCAACAGCCATTGTCTTGGCATTTAGGTCTCCTCCTATTATGATTTCTTCGTCTGTATGGTTGATATAGTCCTCAATGTCTTGTAGCAGACTTTCAAAGTCTCTGATTTGTCCGTTTGGCGAGAAATAGCACGATATTATTGCTATTTCTTCGAGTTCTACGCATGCATATCCTCGTCCACTTCTTCATCTTGTTGCTTTTAAGTTCTTTGTGTATACAAAGCAATCACATTCTCTATCGCAGTAGGTACAGGTCTTTTGATCTTTTTTTGTTTGGTTCTTTTCCTATGATAATGTTCAGTTCCTTCTCATTAATTTCTTGAGCCAGCAGATCATGTGCAGCTTGGCATCTATTAAGATTTAGTTGTAGTATCTTAATTTTAGTGTTTATTTTGAGGTGTATCCTGTTCGTAGTCAGTCTCTTGGTCGCTTATGTGTATTTGTCTTCTAGCCCCTCTTCATATTTTTGAAATGGCTCTATGGAATGCTGTGCTCTGTGAATTTCCTGGCAGATAAGGCAGTGTTCGGTTTGGTAACAGTTGTTCGTGGTATGTCCTTCTCCTCCACATTTGTAGCATAACGTACTCCTGTCGGGTCCTGTGCATTGTTGAAAGCTATGGTCGTAAGTCCAGCATCTGTAACATTTGGCTACTTCCAACCTTTTCTCTATGCTGCACCTCGTAAGCCCTATTCTTATGTTCGGCATTTCTAGTAGTTTACTAGCTATTTCTTTTGGTACGATAACTGTTGTGGCCTGGGTATTCCCTCGATTTGGACGCAGCTCGCTGATTTTGTATCCGTCTAGGGCTCTAACTTCTTCAGTAATCGCTTCTATTACGTCTGCTTTGGAGGTTGTTGCATCCATACCCCTTATGTGAACAGTGTCATATTTCACTGTGTTAGTGATTCCTTTTGTTTTAATTTTCATATCTTTCGTGTGTTGTTCAAGAGTTTGCTTTATGGCTTCTATGGGCTTTTTCGTCCTTGTCAGCTGTGACCAGTACTTTGTCATCCCTAGTTACTCTAATGTTTTCTATTATTTGTCGAGCGTCTAGGTCCTTGAGGCCAACCTTTATTTTCTGGATGATCTCTTTGTAGGTTTTTCCTTCTTGTTCGATGACAAGTGCGTATGGGTTTGTTTTGTTTTCTGTTCGTGTATATCACTACTTGTGTTTTCTCACCGTGAAAGATAGTTTCGACCATCTTCCTTAGCTTGTTGTTATCCCATCTCTCTATGTGATGTATGGCTACATAATCGTCCTCTTGCGTTTATTTCCGTAATTTTATTACTTTCTCCCAACGGTCTTGTTCTCATTTTCTTTCTGTACAATTTTTATTATCTTTTGTGTTACTGAGGTTTGTTGTTGCTTCTTCCACTTAATGCTTTGTTCCAGGACTCCTCCGCTGTTTTGCTCATTTCTGGATACGCTTTCCTGAACATAGCCTGAATGCTTTTTTCCATTGCCAGGTCTGAAGGCTCTACGAGTACTGTTTTGACCGTGGTGGACTTTGTGTGTAAGGGGTTTCCTAGTTAGTTGTATCTTGGTATTTATATAGAGATTTTGATTCCATACCTTTCCTTCTATTTCCTGCCATTTTATATAAGAGTCAATCTCTTCTAAGGATTCGATGATCGTGTCGTTCCAGGCTTTTGTCCCTGTTTGTGTGCCAATGGTGGCATAGATTTTTTTGGGCTCTTCCTTGGCGTTCTTGTTGGTTTCCGCTTGTGTTTGCATTTCTTTCCAGTTTTCACGTGTACCCTTGCACGCTGGGCATTCATCTAGTTTTCTGCTTGTAAGCTCGGAGAGGAGATCAGTCTGCGTTGATATGGTAGCCGATTTCTTTTGATATTCTAGTCTTTTAGGGCTTGTGTGCCATTACCATATCCAGAGTCTCTCTGAGGCTGAAATACTCTGAACTTTCCTTTTTTTTGTATATAGGCACTTCCCTGCTTGTGCTAGGTGACGTGCTACTAGTTTCCTTTTCTTTGTGGGATCCGAGGTTTGTGTCTTTGCTAACCAGAAAGAGTTGCCCCTTTGGTCGTCCCATGTGAGGTCAATAGTCGTTGTTGAAGCTCTTCGTCCCCTGCTGTTTCCTTCACCTTCATTCCGATTCATGCCCCTTCCCCCCCAAGAATCCGTGGGGTAGCCTACCTTAGTAGGAAGGGATTCCCGGCGTCCTGCCGTACTCGGCCCGATTCTCGTCCCCAGGGTCCTTATTTTCGAAACAGGGGAGCAGCGTTCCCAGGAAAATGAGTGCTCCGTCTATCTCAATGATATGCAACTGATAATATAAGTAACAAAGACAGAATACTCGTTCTCCTGGAAACGCTGCTCCCCAGTCTCAAGAATAAGGACCCAGGGAGTAGAGCTACCCGAGTGAACGAATGTTTTGTCCTTGTCAACGTAATCGAAAAGTGAACGAGAATGATAAAGACGAAAAATTGTTCACTCGGGGAGCTCTCGTCTCCCTAAAACGAGAATTGGGCCTCTGGGGTATTTTATTTTTTCTTTCCGACATTTCATGGTTTTGCTTTTTGATGTTTTTTTTTGAGTCACCTACTCTAGACGGGCTGCCTTCTCTTCGGCTTTGAGCCCCGTCCGCCCATGGAGTACCGCCAAGGCCTGAGTATCTGTCGTGTGCTTGCTGGTTTTGTTTCGCCCCGGCTATTTGATTTCACCAGTACCACCCATATCTGGGAAGTGTTCCCCTATCCACCGCCTGTGGAGGCGCCCGGTATGGGAGCAGCAACCTACTCAGGCATATCACATATCTAAACACACTGGAATGGCGCCACAACCGACCAATAAGTATCGTTCACAATGGCTCTGACGCACATCTTTGATGCTTTCCTTGTCTAAGGTCTGAAGAGTGACAATGATGAAATTCCTCATTTGTTATTTGCATCTTGTTCGTTAGACACGCTGGTCAACATTTTAACTTGAAAATTTGAAGCTGTGTGCACGTTAAGGAATGTAGAAGAGAAAGTTGAGATTTGTATTTAGTGCAAAATTTTTATTTATAAATCAGTGCAGAGCGCTTTCGGCCCAGGCCATCTTCAGTGCTACCTGAAAAGTAAGACAATTACCTACTCTTTACTCTATTGTAATTTCAAAGTTGAGATATGAAATTTGAAAACCATTGAAAAACAGTTTTGAATTTGTTTAAATTTTAAGAAATTATTTAACTTACTTAGTCAGGTGTACAGGAGTCTACAATTGTAAAAAACTTGGTAAAAGACATAGATGTAAAAGGTCAAAACGAACAACATAGAGACACGTTACGACATTTTGAAAATCCTTATCCAATAATATCACAACACAAGTACATAAAACTATGCAAGATTGTTGAAGAGATCGACTAGATTCGTGATCGACTAGTTAGTTAGTAGCCCATAAATTTTAGAGAAAAGAAAGGAAGAAATTTTCAATTTTGTTTTTGTACCTATATAATTAATTATTTTAATAAAAGTAGATATTATTAATTAGTTAAATATTATGTTTGTTGTGAAGTCCAAATTAATGAAGAACCAACCCCTGAAATGTACCCTTATTATCATCATTGAGTGATTACTTAATTTAAACATTCAATTGATAATCGAGCCCACAGCCCCAGTTGTATGAAATCGAATAAGATAATGAAGTTGCTATGTGAATTTTATGTTGACCTATGATACATAATGAAGGTGGCCTAGGTCGAAAGATCTGCACTGATTTATAAATAAAAATTTTGCACGAAATACAAATCTCAACGTTCTTCTCAACATTTTAACTGACAGTATTGACACAAAATTTAAAAAACAAACCAAAACAACTGTGAAATTAGAGGTTATAATAGGTCTGTACGTAGAGAAATCACAAACCAGTCAGAGCGAATTTCATTAGGTCTGTTACTTCAGAAATCACAATCCAGTCAGAGCGAATTTCATTGGTTGAAAACAATCAGAAAACTAGTTTCAACCAATGAAATTCACTCTGACTGGTTTGTGATTTCTGCAGAAACAGACCTATTGGTTGAAACTAGTTTTCTGACTGTTTCTGACTGTTTTCAACCAAGGAAATTCACTCTGGCTGGTTTGTGATTTCTCTACGAACAGACTTAATATTTATCAGCACATAATGTGCCATTGTTCCGTGTTCGCTTTTGTCATCCTTTTCATCGATTTGCTCCGAAATTTTGACAGACACGTGATTTATAAATTGAAACTGTCTGATCCAGTCACGTGGGTGTCAAAATTTCGGAGCAAATCGACGAAAAAGATGACATAACGAACACGGCCATTGTTAGTTGAATTTATATTTTCTATTAAAAATCAACGGCATCTCAAATGTGTTTTAGAATTATAAAAAAATATAAAAAATCACCCCATTCTCACAACAAATTAACGATAAAATCGCAGATGATGCTGAAAGAGAGAAAAATACAAAATACATTTTATTTAAGATAATTTTTTATTAACATCACATTAATCCTAGAACAAAATATAAAACAATTAACAATAGCTAATATTGATTTATTTACAACATTAATATATTTCTAAAACAATAAATCAAATTAGATAATGCAGATACAATGATATATTCATACACTCTTCAAATAATAAAAATGTTCGTTTTGATTTCTTCATTGATTTGGTACCTACTAAAATTATTTGAAACAAAATTTAATCACTTACTTATGTTTACTTCGGGCACAGTTTACCATATATTTAACTAATTAATTCAGATGAAGGTTGGAAAGTTTAATTGAAAAATCATTTTTAAAAGATTTCAAGCACTCTTTAGAAATTTAACGACAACAGACTTTCATCCAGAATACCAACTTTAATGTTGGAACAGAAGCTAGAACCATCATAGAGGAAAAATTTGAGTGAGGCGATACACCAAATGAGAGGGGCTCCGAGGTGGTCGACCTTTATTTCCCTAGCTATTCGTAGGAATAACATGGATAATATGAATTTGCAACAAACAAACCAAGAAAAGCGGGATGACACCGCTAAGCCAATCCCTGACCGAATGGAGCATGACATCCAAGACAGCCAGCAGGCGGGACCATCTCAGGTAACGGCCAGCTATTAAACATCGGCTTAGGCGATGGATCCTGTGAAACCATCAAGAAGATGAGTCACAGCATCTTCTACAGGATCGGGAAAATCCCCGTACACGACCTCAAGAAGAGAAAAGAAAAAGATGAAACAGGCGAGGACCCAAAGCACCTCTTCAGGGTCCAAACCCGAGACTCCTTCAGAAAAAGAAGGAAGAGAAGAAGAAAGGGAAAAGACTCTCACTCGGGTAGAGGAAATTCCCAGCGAGGAAGAAAATATGCTTCTGGGCGAATGGGAGGCCAACACTCCACCACACCAGAAGAGACAATATTAACGGGTAAGATGGCGAATTACACCAAAATAGCCCAACTGAACACATATCACGCTAGGGAAGCATCTGCTGCCATATCGCGGTTGTTCAAGTCGGCACACGGCCCATTAATACAAGAGCCTTGGATATATAAGGTTCAGATCAAAGGTCTACCAAGTAACGGGGCAAAATCAATCTGGGACAGTCGGTGTAACGAGCCTAAAGCATGTATTCTCCTGAAAGAGAATATTAATCATTTATGTCTTTCAGAATTTACGTCGCGGGACTTGGTCACTGTTCGGGTAAATCTTATCACTGATCAACCACACCGCGACCTAGTACTGGCATCAGGTTACTGTACAGAGACTAGTCAAGTACTGCAACAGGAGCAAACTACCGCTCCTTATACTCTGCGATATTATAGAAAAAGCACTTCGAGCCACGAAGGAATGGTATCAGACAGTGAGGCTGAATCTAAACTCAGCAAAAACCATACTGGTAACATTTACAAAAATAACGAAACTCCCCAACTTGAGAAACAATCGCCTCGATGGAAGCAGACTTGATTGGAAAAAAGAAGTTAAATTCCTAGGAATAACCCTAGATTCTGAACGTCTCTCGAACCGACATGTAGAGAACACAAAAAACAAAGCAATTTCGGCACTCATGGTCTGCAAAAATATTGCGGGTGAAACATGAGGTTGTAACCCATCAATCCTAAGATGCATGTATACCATGATATTGAGACCTATCATCACCTACGGAGCGGTAGCCTGGTATAGCCGAACTAGTTACAGCTAGGCAAACCCTAGGAATAGTGCAAGAGCTCGCGTGTCTCTGTATAAAAGGAGAAATGAGATCATGCCCATCCGCGGCACTAGAAGTCGTTCTAGACCTCACACCACTCCGCATAATAGTGAAGCGGGTTGCCAGTGGATCATGTCTAAGATTGGAGGAGATAGGTTTACAAAGGGAAATGCACCTTGGCAGAACTTTTCCTCTCCCAAACTGGATTAGGACCTCATGGATCTACCAAAAGACTTGATTTTCGATAAATTCAGTTTTGAGAAAAACTTTTCCATCGAACTAAGTACAAAAAACAGATGGAACATGGAATCTATCCAATCCCCTAAAGCAAACACCATCAAATGGTACACAGACGGTTCCAAAACTGCTGAGAGAACTGGAGCCGAAGTATTCGGGCCACGGACCAGATACTCGGAGCCAATGGTGAAATCACCAAGCATATTTCAAGCGGAAATTCATGCGATCGAAAGATGCGTGCAGTTTAACCAGAACAGAAGTTATCGGAAACGAGGGATTGTAATATTGTCTGACAGCCAAGCAGCTATCAAAGCATTTAGATCCCCGGCCATCAATTCTAAGACAGTATGGAAATGTCTACAGAAGATAAATGAGCTGGGAAAACAAAATAAAGTAACCCTCCTCTGGGTGCTCGAACACATAGGTGTCGAAAGCAACGAATGCGCAGACAGACTTGCAAGAATGGGAGCGTCTACTCCCTTCAATGGGCCGGAACCATTTTGCGGCGTCGGAAATGCGCACTTCGAAAAAATTCTCAAAAAAGAAGAGAACCGGCTAAGGAACAATGGCTAGAACAGCCAGGACTATGACAGGTCAAAGATCTATTGGACAACTTCAACCAAAAAGGATCAGAACTGCTGGTCAACCTTAGCAAGAAAAGTCTCAAGACTCTAACCGGGGTTCTCTTGGGACATTGCAGACTTAAGAAACACCTACATAAGTTGTGGTTAGACGAAGGCGGCATGTGAATTCAATGATGGTGGATTTTGTGAAGACGGAAAAGAGACACCTCACCATCTTTTACTGAATTGCTATGCCGTTAGTCGCTCAAGGATGCAGAACCTGGGGAGTGCCCTTATACAGACAAAGACGAACCACTGGATATCCTAAGGTTCCTCAAGGACCTGGGACTGGAGGGGCTGCTTTGAGCAGGAAACCCGAACTTAGCAGCAGAAGGACGGGTATAATAGATCAACCTTGGTCGCGGCGCAACTGACACCTCCATCACATACATACACACACCAAAAGAGCTTAGTTTGTTTGAAGATGAGGCAAAAATAAAAGCTGAAAGTTAAGTAATGGAGTCCAACACCGCGTACGATGATACGCGGGTGCGATTTTTTTTTGTAGTTTCATTTTGATACAATGGCTACCAAGCCGTGTGATTTAACCCCATGTGATTTTTTTTTCTGTGGAGTTATCGTTGATTAACGTCAATTAAAAAGAAGAAAACTCGTTTCTAGCATCCATCGGCAGAAATTTCATGAATATGGAGACACATTTTAAAGGGATATAAATCATCCAAAGATTTTGATAATACGTATTCTGTTTATATAATCACAGAGAGTTGAATACCTAACTAATTCAGTACATAGAAAACTGCGCCTCAAGTAAAGCCAGATTTATCCAACTTCAAAATTCTTAGATTCTCGAAAATTCCCAACTAAAATTATTGTACAGGGTGTTTACGGTCTTGTGATTTTATTTTTGAGGGGTGAATAAACACCTTAAAAAAATGTGATTAATGCCAAAACACCCTAAAGTGAAACACTAAGGGAGATATGAATTTTTTAAATTTGTTACAATTTTATTTTCAAATATGATGTGATCACTTAGTTATTAGAAAACCACTACAACAGGTGCTCAAAGTAATCGCCCTGTTGTTGAATACAAAGTCTCGCTCGACGTATCCATGAATCGGCATAACGTCCAAGTCCTAGGCCTTGCTGTCTAATGGTGTTCGCAGCTAATTCAACACGGTTACGAAGATCTGCGAGGTCAACTATTTCATCGCTCCATAAATAAAAATCTACTGGACTAAGGTCGGGTGAACGTGGAGGCTATCTAACCGGACCCTCCCTACCAATCCATTTAAAAATCGGAAGTAGTATAAATTTAAAAAAATCATATCTCTCTTATTGTTTGATTTCCATTGGGGTGTTTAGCGTTAATCACACTTTTTAAGGTGTTTATTCACCGCTTAAAAATAAAATCACAAGACCGTAAACACCCTGTATATGTATGTATTTCTAATAAATTAAAATAAATATATATTTATTCACTATAATTTAATACAAAATGAACTTGGAAGTTGGTAAAATCGTGCCTAAATTTAACATTGATTGTATCCAGTTATTAATGTCCTTTCTACTACCCAAGTATTATTTACAATAATTTTATTATGAAAAAAAAAAAAAAAACAGATTAAAACTTTTGATGATTCCGTATTTAGCAATACATTATATCAGCAGACTTTGTCTATACTATAGAAAAAATATTTTGCTTACGGTACCTAAACAACTTCTCTGCTTTTCTATAGTCGAAAGTTTCTTCCATGATAAAAAATTCCGAAATCATCATTGGAAAAATCCCCCTGTTATTCCATCTTTAAAAAAAATATATGATGACCTCCCTAGATCTTCTATCTATGTACATATATTATAAGCAAAAAAACCAAAACTATTAGGGTAGGCAATATTTCCAATTGTTGTCCTCCTGGAACAATAAAACAGTGTAAGAATTTTAATTTTTTTTAGCATTAAACACTTAAACAAAAAAGACGATGGGTGCTTATAACGTTTTAAGTTAAACGAACATTGCAGAGCAGGCATTATTTTAAATTAAGATTAGAAACAGCGGCACTCTCCACGTCAGGATTTGCGCGCCCTTTAAATTCCAACATTTTACTGCAGATTAAAGGAAACTGAAATATTTAAAGTCTCTTTGCACCAGCTCTGACTCTGTAATAAATTTCACTCGGCAGTTGCAATTTACATGAAATACGCTTCAAATATATTTTCAGTGAGAAAAAATAATTTCAAAATAAACTATAACAACTTGTAGTTTGAAATATTATTTTTTTTAAGCAAGAGTGATGAAGGAGCTATAATTGATCTGTTTTACGTTGAAATTTTAATGTAGGTATACATTTGAATGAAAGCGTTCATGCATAGGTAAGTAAAAGGCCTGGCCCTCATGAGGTCTTCATTTTAAAACTTACCACCCAAATCTCGAAATCCGGAAGTCCCCAAAAAATTCCTCCATGGGGATTTTCCGCCATTTTTTCAAAATGGCCGACTTCATTTTTTGAAATATCGTAAAATGGCTTATTTTTCGAAAAAACCCATTAGCTAACCCAAAAACTATTCTTTGACTTTAAATAAAACTTACAAAAATTTCACACCTATGGATAATGCCGTCTAGTGACTACAGTAGCTCTTCAAGATGGCTGCCAACTTACATAAAAATCTAAACCAGACAACCAACCATAACTTGTGATAACTCGATTTCGACTAATTTTGGGTCGAGAAATCCATTGATAAAAATATCATACATGTTGCCATTTCGCTTTTATGCGCCATTTTTTCAATATGGCGACCATAAATTTGACACAGTTTTGAACTTATAGCTTATTGGGTATCATTTTATAGGTATTTCGACATCCTAAATCCAATTTTGACAACAACACAAACGTAGGAGTTTCCGTTTTTATTTTGGAGGGCCATTTTAAATACGGCGGCTTTCAATCTACTATATACTTAAAACCATTCTATAATATAATATAGCAATTTAAACCAATTTTGGTAACAAATAATAGTGAAAGTTGTTTCCTTTTTTATGTTCGGGTTATTTTTGGCTTTAAATTGCTTCATTCTTGCAGGTCAGCAGGGTCTTATCTAAAAATAATAGTTTAATGTTTAATTTAATATGATTATGAAGTAATCTTAATTACATTTTTACTTTTGATTTTCACAAGCTCCACGATAATTTCCACATGCTGTAGTATAGGGGCGGTGGTTTTGGCGGCAACTGTAACGCAAATTGACACATCGCATTTTGCAGCAGCACTTTCCCAGATCTTTAAAAGACTTTCATATCTCCGGAAGATCTGTCCAATTGAGAGCTCAACCGTCTGCTGTCTTAATGTAGCCCCAATTCGCTGGATTCGGCAATTCTTCATTAATACCAAGAGCCCGACCCCTTAGCGTGTGTTGTGTCAATGCTGCTAGAGTGGGGGGAAGCACATTGACGTTACGGCCACCTGCACAAAAAAGTTTCTGGCGAGCTTTGTCAATTTCTGTTTCCGTGCTGTGGGTGTCGTATAAACAAACAACGAACTTTTGTAGTGGCACTAATGTAGAAGTAATGTGTTTTGTGGTCTTTGCTTCCCAAGCATTAAAAGACTTCGGTAACCTCATCTTCTTACCGTGCACCCCATGCCTTGCGTTTTCCTTTTGACAAAAAAAGGACGTTGTGTCGCACCCGATAAAACTATGGAAACCACGTAAGGCAAGAGATTTGTCATTTCCAAGACTCCTGGCAATGGTATGCGCTGGAATATATCTGGCATTCTTTCTCATGCCAAAAAGGAACCACAGCTCATGAAGTCCACAACTGTTTAAAGCCCAATAGGAAGAGATGGCTGAAACTAATAGTCAAGTCTTTGCAGTGGGTAAATCATGTTGACGTAATCCTGTACCACGGTGTTCTCTGGTTGTGTTCTTCCAGCTATCTTTATCGTATAGATCCCAAAGTACGTCGATACGGTTGACTTTTACAATGCTTGCAACACCAACTAAAAACAGTAACAGTTGTTGTTTAAAATAGACAGAGAACTGTTTGATCGGCTCTTTGGGCTTAATATGTGTCACGCTTAGGTTGTTTGTGGTCAGCGGTGCCACCAGTTTATCTACACTTGGCTGCGTCGGTTAAGGGTTTATCCTGAGGAGGATGGGGGGAAAGGAAAGATTTCACCACTAGTAGTTAATATCTATTGTTACACCTTAATTTATGTAGGAGATGATTAAATAGGGTTAACCAAAAATAGATCGCAGTAAATGTTCTTTCCTGGTGGGCCATCATTTAACATTCCCTTGGAATGCCTATCTTCAGGGAAAGCCCTACGCTGTCAATAATACCCAAACAGCTATATGAAAATGTACCTTCGAGGAGCTTAGTTTCCATAGGTCTAGGTTTGGGGCGTTGAGTGGGGCTTCTACTGCATGACATTTACCTTAGGATCCCAGTCGTACTGTAGCAAGTCACGCCCAACTTGGAGAGAAAGTCTTTAGGCCTCTACCCTCGAGGAGCTTAAGGCTGTGGAGACTAACCTCTGCCTGACTGCATTGCGGTGCGCGTAATTTGTGTGCAATACCTGCCCCATCGAATAAAACTGCCTCACATCTAGGGGAACCATCTATAGGGGGTGTAACCAATTTTACAAAGGTACTCAGTGTGACTTGTTCCCAGTTCTCATACTTCCATTCATAGATACCTGACGCAGGGGGCCAAGCGTAATTTTCATGTTTAAAAAAGTCTTCCAGGTTCAGATTTCGTGCAGAACTCATTATGAAAAGTCTTGAAAATAACTGGAGATCTGACTTTAGAGCTGATACCTTTGCCAAAGCCATGATTTTTTTTTGGAACAACGAATATCTGACGTCGCCTGGCGTGACACCACGCGACGTGGCATTTCAACGAACTTAAATCGATTCGAACGCATGATTGATTCTCTGATACCTAAATACAACCACCTACCGGTAGTGTCGCTCCCTAATTAATTGTTTAAACAGATAAGAATAGATGTCATCACATGTAAAATTTGAGATACCTACAAATATATAGTTCATGTATATTCATTTCTCGTTGCCAAATTATGTTAGGAGGAAAAAACTAATATTAAGTGATATCCCACGTGCTATAATTCCGACTGTTCAGATAATTTGTAGCTGACATTCTTAAAAATGGCCCCAAAATAAAAACGGAAGCTCCTACGTTTGTTTTGTTGACAAAATTCGATTTAGGATGTCGAAATACCTAAAAAATGATACCCCATAAGCTATAAGTTCAAGACTGTGTCAAATTTATTGTCGCCATATTGAAAAATGGCGCATCAAAGCAAAATGGCAACATGTATGATATTTTTATCACAAGAAATGGATTTCTCGACCCAAAATTAGTCGAAATCGAGGTATGACAAGTTATGGTTGGTTGTCTGGTTTAGATTTTTATGTAAGTTGGCAGCCATCTTGAATATGAGCTACTGGACGCCATTTTCTATGGGTGTAAAATTTTTGAAAATTTTATTTAAAGTCAAAGAATATTCATAATGGGTTTTTTTTTTGAAAAATAAGCTATTTTACGATATTTCAAAAAATGAAGTCGGCCATTTTGTAAAAATGGCGGAAACTCCCAACCTTATGGAGGAATTTTTTGGAGACTCGACTGAAAACTCTTAAAATCACCTTAAGAATGTGGGTTCCAAATTTCATGCTTGTATACCTAATAGCCACATAGTTTCCGTTATCCTCCGGGCTACGAATCCCAATTTGGTTTTCGTAACGCTTTTGACACAAGAGATGCCATGTTTAGCATTCAAGTGCTAGTTCAAACAGTAGAGATGAGAAGCTTATGAAAATTCTCAAGGATGTAGGCCTAGACTGCACAAATTAAGGTAAACCAATAAATGTCTGACGAAGTACAGATAAAAAGAGGAGCCCACCAGGCTTGCATCCTTTCACCATTACTTTTTAATATTTATTCCAACAAAATATTTGGAAGAGCAATAGAAGACTGCACTGAGGGAATTTCTATCAACGGTGTGAACATTAACAATCTTCGGTATGCAGACGATACGTTTTTAATCGCTGATTCTCTGGAAGGTCTCCAAATATTACTTGATCAATTGGCTACTGAAAGTGGAAAATTCGGAATAAAATTGAACGTCAAAAAAACTAAATGGATGGTGATTAGTAAGAACCAGGTTGGAGGAGCTATTCTTCAGGTACAGAACCAACAGATCGGTCGGGTCCAATTATACAGATACCTAAGATTTCAGGTTAACGAATAGTGGAATAACATGCAGAAGATTCGTGCCAGGAATGAACAATCCAGAGCATCATACGTATTGTGTAGGCTTCTGAAATATGGACATAGACGGATATTAAAAATACATTGGACGGACAGAGTTCGCAATGAAGATGTGCTAACGAGAATGTCAAAAGATCTTTAAGTTATGTTCACGCTTAAAAAGAAAGCTAGAGTACTTCGGGCACATACTCGGGCATTCCCGGTATTTGTCATTACAAATACCTACTTCTCAAGCTCATAATCGAGGGAAAAATCGAGGAGAGAAAAATAACTTGGCTGAAGAATTTGCGTTACTAGTATGCGAAACCACGAAAAGTCTGTTCAGAAAAGCAGTCAACAAAGTACAGGTAGCGCTGATGATTGCCACCATACATAGAGGAGAAGAAGGCTCCCTCTAATAAATATAATTATTTGAGAGAGTATCCAGTGGACAGGAAACTCATTCACCTTGAAACTATAATTGACGTTTTTCGAGATCTTTCCGAAAATTTCCAATTACGAGATAATAGGGGTAGTTATGAAATTAACCCTCTGTCCAGCTAATTTAAATAAATCAACACCGTTATTATTTTAAAAGAAAAATTTTAATTAATTTTCCAGAGAGATTTTTTAATGATTTTATCATAAAACTAAATAAACACGCAAAAAATCTCTTTGCATCAGCTCTGTGAAATAAATTTTCACACGGCAAACGCAATTTCCATGAAACACGCTCGCTCCAAATATATTTTTAGAGGTAAAAGTGGCTGGAATAATTTCCAACAATAATATTTTCAATAATTTTACCTGATCTTTCGTCCCTTGAACTTAAAACGGAAGATGGACGTGGTCTCGGTTTGGCTTCTTCCAATACTTCTTTTCTTTCTCCCCGGTATATGTTGAAGAGGGATGCTACACAGCTCAAAAATGCTTTTCCATTCTGGAACAAACAAAAAAGGTGATATATGTATACAAACTGCCAAAGGTTAGCAGATCTTAGATTCTCCCTAAAAAAAATAAACTTGACTGTCTAAATTCAAAATTTAGTTATAAAATTATATCTATCAAAATCATTACAAAAATTAATTAATTATTAGCGTCCAGGGTACCTACTCCTAGGTTATCGACACCAACGCACCGCCAGTGGATCACCAGGAAACATAGGCAATACTACGATCTATACCAGACGCAGCGTCATCAAAAGTTAAATTACCAAATCTTTCGATGTGGAGCATACAACAGATTTTGTCAGCGATTTATTCTTTTCAATTAATTACCATTGTTCATGACGTTTGTCAAAGTTGCATTTTTTGTACATAAATAGTTGTTAATTGTTTAATAAAAATCAGTAAAAATTAAACAGTGGTTCTTACTCCCCAGTTACCAGTGGTTTGTAGTACCATAAACAACAAACTACCAAGTGTTCTGAGCATCCTCCTAAATTCCAATAGCAGGAATTTACATTGGTCCTTCGAGCCAATTGAAGATGACGGTTGTAAACCAGCCCTTCCCACCAGTCCTCCCTTCATTCCTATTCTTTAACGTACATACATACACTCGCTCCCTTCGGGGTTAACGTTTAGATACCGGTCTAAACAGCCACACAAAAATACGTACATCCCTTTCTTACTGTAGCAAGTGCCTTGTCTGGTTACAGCATCCCGTTCCTAGTATAGCAAGTGCCTTGTCTTGGCTATACACTCCTTCCTACATCCTATTAATAATCAAATATACAGATACACTCGCGCCCTTCGGGGTTAACGCTTAGACACCGGTCTAAAGCACCTACACATACATTCCTTCTCACTGTAGCCTTGTCAGGTTGCAGCATCTTATCCTCAACAGAAAAGAACAAATAAATAGGTTCAAATACCAGCAGACAGCAGCAAGAAAGGAGACAAAAAACACCAGGGGGCGGATTACGAATTCTCGATTCGAACCGAAACCGCCATGGATTTTGAATGCACTCCATGCAAATGCATCAGAATGCGTTCGAAATCCATGGCGGTTTCGGTTCGAATCGAGAGTTCGTTATCCGCCCCCAGGTCCTGAAGTCAAAGAGGAGAAAAAAGAACAGATAACCAATAGCAGTAGGCAACATCCAAAGTGGAAGAAGCCAACGAACTCGCTAAAGCACAAGAAACCTTGAGTAAAAAGTTAAAAACCTTATTTTCCAATTACGCAAAGGACCCCCATGAGAGAAAAAAATTTCAATATTTTCTAAGAAAAACTGCCGAACTTGAATCCATCTGGAAAAACATTGAAGAAAACCATAAACAACAACAGAGCTTGACATTCCGACGCATGCGTATTTTACAGATGATTATTTTCGTCAACCACAGAAATTATTCCAATAAATCACAAAACACATAACCGATTCCAAACAAAATCTTCGTCAGGGAACCAAATCACCCGAACAACAAGGAGCCTCATATTACGATCCAAACCAGTATTAGGCACCGAAAAATCGTTTGAAAAAAGAAGAGGTCCGAATGCACCAAATGATTCAAATCTTAAGGGACATCTCAAACGACCTAATCGGTGAGCAGTCTCGCAACCGTTATCAGTTTCTATTAAAGAAGCTAACCAAGCAATGGGACGTTATCACTGAAATGTTCATCGAGCTTCAGGTTCAGGAAATTGAGAGTACTATCAAAAATCCCATTCAAGACCTTGAACAGCGGTACGAAAAAATAGTACAAAACCTCCAGGACAAGATTCAAGGAGTAGGACAAGTTGTGAAACAATATAGTATAACATTACCTCAAATCAAACTATCAATTTTTGAAGGCCGATATGAAGAGTGGGTCACATTTTGAGACATTTTCATCAAAGTGGTACATGAAAATCCAACAATTACGACAATAGAGAAAATGCAGTATCCTAAAATGCATGTGAGAGGGGAAGCTGGAAGACTGATACAGCACCTGTCTATAACAGAAACCAACTATGGCCCTGCTTGGAATATTCTCAATGGAAAATACAGCAACAATAGACTAATAAGCCTCCAAACTACTAGATAGGATCTTAGATCTTCCAGTGATTAATCACGAATCATCGGTCTTGAAGCCATCGATAATCTAAATATCGATACTTCCAATTGTGGATCAGTCGCATCATCTGCCTAAAATGGGATCATGATACCAACAAGCTTTATGAACAATCGCTAAGCAAGCCCCATAAAATAGAGGACTTTGTTGAAATAAGGAAATTTCTTCAAGCAAGATTCCAATCATTAGAACCAATTTCAGACAAACAGAAGAAAATTCGCCCCAAAGCAAACAATAATAACAAAGCCAGAAGTAGGGGTGCTTGCAAGTACTGCAATGAAGTCCACATGATTTACCATTCCCAAAATTGAAAGCCTTATCATAAAAAAAATATGTTTAAATTGCTTGAACCATGACTACAAATCCAAATGCAATTCGTCAATAAAATGCCGTATTTGCAACAACCAGCATCATACATACTTACACGTCGATTCGTTTAGACCACAACAGTCCAGAAAATCAGCGTTCAGAAATGGTCAAAGAACCGAAACAATAATAAACCAATGACCTATTATCACAGATAGACAGAGTATTCCATTCATAAAATACTATTTGTTGTGTTGACAACATGTTTATAGGCCAGGGGGAATTTGGGGTGCGGGAGGTCCATGGTGGGGATAAGTCGCTCGATCTAAGTCCGGCCTCAACAGCTGTTCTCTGCCATAGTTATGAAAATTTCAGAGTTTTCATCGACCCTGGTTCCCAATCACCGAAAATTCAAGAAAAAATTACAGGGCTTGACGCAGGAGAACCACAAGTGACAAAATTACAGTTACAGCTTAATTAGTAGCTGCCGAGATTTTCCAGCAATTTCCAGCTTGATGTTCTCGGAATCGTTCTACCTAAACTGACACGAACTCTTCCTGGAGTAGACCTTGACGTAGACATATCACAATGGAAGTACGACGTCCTTGTTGATCAAACATTCTATAAACCTGGTCCAGTAGATATACTTCTCGGGACCCCGAGAAAATGTTCAATTAATCTTAGAAGGCATACGAAAAGCTGAAGATATCCTTGGCCAACAAACAGAATTAGGATGGATTCTTTCCGGAAACCTACCAAAAAAATCGGGCAACAAACGAATTGTCAGCATGATAACATGTATTTAAGAAGATAGACAATTAACTAAGTTTTGGGAAGTTGACGAGGTCACACAAATACATCCGTTATCAGAAGATGATGAATATTGCGAACAATATTACGAGACCACCACTTGAAGAAATACAGATGGATCATACACAGCTAGAATTCCATTCAATGGAAAAGAGAGTCTATTCGGAGTGTCTAGATCACATGCTGGAGACCACGCCTAACAAAACGTTCAGTGGGTCGACCTCTTAAAAGTAGTGATAAAAGCTGACATTGAAAAAATGTACAGGCAGCTAAAGATTCACGCTGATGACCTGAAATATCAGAAAATCTTATGGAGATTTATAATAACACACCAATTAATGAATATTGCTTGACAACTGTAACCTATGGGACGACAGCAGCACCATACTTAGCTATTAAAACATTACAAAAACTTGCTCACGACGAGAGATGTAACTTTCTGAGTGCATCCAAAGCAGCAATGAAAGATTTTTATGTCGACTACTTGCTCTCAGATGCTGACACGTTAAAATAAGCTCTATCACTACAAGACGAACTCAACAAAATGTTTCAATGTGGAGGGTTCACGTTACGGAAATTGTCCAGCAACAAACAAGAGTTACTACATAAACTTCCAAATGAACTTAAAGATCAATTAGCCATGTAAATAGCTGAAGATGACATAAGAAAGTCTCTAGGTATCCATTGGGCTCCGTATAATGACACATTTAGATTCAAAACTGAAATATCGACCAGTGATAACATTACTAAAAGGAGCATTCTTCCAGAGGTTGCTAAGTTATTCGACCCACTAGCATGGTTAGCTCCAATAATCATCAGGGGGAAGCTCCTTATCCAAGAATTATGTCTGCAAGAGGTAAAATGGGATGATCCTATCCTATACCACTCTTCATTGAGAGCAAATGAGAAATTTTCCGAACAGAACTAAAGAGTGTCGAGAAAATTACTATACCTACCAAGTAAAAAACAGTCACGTGGAACTACATGGCTTATGTGATGCCTTCGAAAAGGCATATGGAGCCTACATGAAAGTCAAGAATTCCCTGGATGAATCAAAAATAGTTCTGCTAACAGCTAAATCCAAAGTAGCACCAGCAAGAATGAAAGTTATGTTGCCAAGACTAGAGTGCCGTGCTTCTTTTACTTCTACTAAAAAAGACTGCTACAACCTTATCACTACAAGATACCCCCGTACATGCCGGGACAGACTCTACAATAGTACTATCATGGATGAAAGAAGACCCGTCCAGGTGGAAGAATTTCGTAGCCAACCGAGTAGCAGAAATCAACAAACTTATTCCACATCAACATTAGCTCCACGTGCGAACCGACGACAACCCAGCTGATATTATATCAAGAGGGATAAGCCCAACTCTATTAAAAAATCATACAATGTGGTGGATTGGTCCATCGTGGTTGAAATCGATTACCATAACGCCAACGTTCCAAATATCAGTCACCACGAAGGAGGCCAGAACGTGTAACTATGTTACAATTGCAACTCAAAGCAATGAAACCAAAAATGAAATTATAGAGCGATTTTCTTCATTAAACCACATGATTCGAGTTGTATCGTACTGCAGACGATTTATTCAAAGTTGCAGAAGACAAACGAATCTGCACCCTTATGATGAAATGTTGATGAAATGGTAGACACCCTAACACGCCTAGTCAAGATTGACCAGATCCAACATGCCAAAGCAGAAAAACAAAAGCTAAAAAAAGGGTCTCATCTAGACAGTAATAGCAAAATTCTCAATCTTACTCCATGGCT